TGGAACGTGAAACCGCACAAAGGCAGATAAAAGTTTATTTTGCGGTTATGAAAAGCTCATTAAATAGGAATTATATGATAAATATAAATGTGCGATTTAACACAAAAGCTTTGGATATTATTAATGTTAATAAAGTAATATATAATGCATTAGAATAGTATTATTGGAATTTATTAAAATATTAAATGCTTAATGAAACAGGGGATTAATTCTTTGCGTTTTACTCTATCTGAAATTATCCGTCGTTATACGATAAATTATTACGGCAGAAATTTTTATTCGTAATACGTGAACTCTTTCCGAGAGAGTCGAGATATCGATGTAAGAATGAGATACCTGATAAGAATTCAAGGGAGATAGAATAGAGGTCATATCAAATGAAAAACGTGACGAGAAAGATATTTGAAAGAAGATTTTTAGCCATACATATTGAACAGCGACGCAAAAGAGGGCGAGATGCATATTCCGCAATTTTTATGGAGAAAACCTTTTTCTCTAAATTCTTACTCCGACAATTATTCGGTCAGATGTCACGCCTTGTCGTTTCTCCACGTAGAACTTACAGGCGTACGTTCCGGTGATCTGAAATACGACTCGGAACGTGCTCGTAAGCCGCAACGAGAAAATACGGAAAATATACTTGTGCGTAATGTACACGAGCGTAGGGGAAAAAAGTTCATCGTTATCGGACGTGTGCGGGAGAGAAAGGAATTAAAAGCCATCCCTCGCATCTGTATCCGCGCGATCTGTATCCGTGCTACGGCGCGGGACGAGAGAGCTCGCCGAGCCGGTGCGCTCGGACGTCGAAGCCTCCGGAGACAGGGTTGACCAATCGGCCGTGGAAACAGGCTGCGGAGGGTCGAACGACGACAAACAAAGGTATCGCGTGATTCCTCTCGAGGCTGGAAGCCGGCGGTGACCCGCGAACCAGGATTCCAGTTGGCCGATGGGAGAGCCCGGAGAGATAAGTGCAAAGGGGACTTTCGTCGTCATCCTCTTCGTCGTCGTTGTCGTCGTCGTCGTCGTCGTCGTCGTCGTCGTCGAAGCAGCCAGCGGCCGCATGCATTATGCAAGCCGTGGGAAATGGACGGACGCGAAATGTCTGTCGCACGAACGCCCAGTCCGCCCCCGGCCCTTGCTGCATCGAGGGTGAACTTGATGCGGCCAGTACAAAAAAAAAACGAGGGCCGACCAACGAATGGCCAAACGAGAGATGCGCGGCCGGGCTAAGAGATTTCCCAGAAGAGATTTCGAGGCGCCGTCGCCGTCGCCGCTATCGATATGGCACGCGATCGATTCGCTCGGGGCTTACGCCCCGGCTTCTCGCTCTCCTCGACCGACAGATGCGCGCGGTAAAACGCCTGAAATATTGTGATAACGTCACGCGCACGTATACATGCCCCGCGACTCGGAAACTTTCCCAGTAGATTTCGAGAACGTATTACAATGAGACGTGCAAGGGCGTTGTCTTGATTTGGGACTTGATCCTTCCGGATGACGGCGGGGCGCAAGGATCTCTCGGCGCTCACGAAATTTACTCTTTGAAATGCGAAACCTTAGAGCACGGATGGAAACGCGCAATGGCGCGACTATGATTCATCTCCTCGCGAGATACGAAATTCATAAAACGTTTTGTATGAAAAATCGTCGGGAAAATGCCAAATCGAAGGCAAAAAGAAAACTACGTCACACGCTGCGTCGTCCACGCTCGACCGCGAAAACCGCGGCGGGGCCGCGGCTCACAGGTGTTCGCGGGGCTTCTCTCTCTCTCCACCCGGCCGTGAAACGAAGGGAGGATCGTTTCCACTTTCTGCTTCCGGGAGGAGTGATATTCGTCGCACGCGCGTTGCGCCTTGCTGACGCTACCGGCAGTTTTTAATCTATTTTAATTTCTAACGTTTGCCGTCCCGGTGCCAGCCGGTCCCAGGACGATTTATGCTTAGCAGCAACAGCGGCAGCAGCAGCGGCAGCAGGTCGTCCGGATGCAGCGTACGTACGTACGTGCCTATGGGACTGCTGCGTGTTTTATGTTGGCTAATCTCGTAAAAATTCATGCGAAATAACGCCCGTGCTTCATCCGCCTCGCACGTTCTCCAACCTCGCCGCCGCCTACAGCCGGGCACGTTTTCCATCGCGCGACTCGACCTGCGCCGAATTTCCGCTCCTCCCGCCTCTCGCGCGATACTCCCGAAACGGCATTAAGACGGTGCAAAATAAAACGAGGTAGGAGGAGGCTCGCCAAGGGGATTCGGTAAAGACGACAAAGTGGACTTTGAATTCTGTCGTATCGAGAATTACAAAAGGATAGTGCCAATGGTTATTCCGAATTTTATGCAGGATAAAACTGTCCGGCAATTGCATTTTCCGCATCAAGAGTTTCTCTTTGTTCAACTTAATTCAGTTCGCGGATTGGCTTAATTTAGAGTGGAATAGAAGGGAATTTTTGGAACCTCGTGAATGTCGAACGTGCGAGGAAAAAACGACGCATTGTCGCCCGGTCGACGTCCAAAGACGAAAACCGTACCATTGTGCGCCGCGTGCGGTGCATCATTGAGGGCGTAAGGTCTGGATCCGACCGGGCATCGCGATTATTCAAGTGAGTTGCCCAGAGCGCGCTCTATTTAATATCCGTCCGTGCATGGACACGAGATACATCGGGGATCAATCCGGTATGGCCATCAAGTAATTTAATCTTCACGCATGCCGTGCCCAACTAAAAGCCATCCCCCGTGCGCCCTGCTCGGGAGCAACCAATGAACCGACGCAGATCAACCGTATCGTGCTATCGCTTTATCCCGCGTGCTGATAAAGTATCCTGCCATCCCCGTGTGCGGGAGGTATCGCGATAATCAGGTATCGCTGGCTTGTAATACAGCCTACAAATAGCAAGGCATTTGTGACCCGTGTGCTCCTACAGCGATTATCCGGCATCCTGGGGTGTAATTCCGGAAGGATATTCTAATAAGTTTTATTTTACATCAAATGTACGTGATGATCCGATGGAATATCAACGTTTAAATATACAGCCATAGACGAAATTATCAGATACCCTCCTGATCGTTACACCGCAAATCTAAGGTCCGGTTTCACCAACTTAACTTTGAGCTTAGCTTCGTTCGTTCCCTGTCTCTTTCCGACTGTTACTTTAGAAGAAGACAGACGTGGATTAAACCGAGATTAAAGTTAAGCAACGTTTGGTGAAGCACTTTTTACACACTTTCTTCTGTTTAAAATCGCGAGACGTGACTTGATAAACGTTACTCGCGCGTTTCTTGCCGTGTAAAAATAATATTGTTAAATGGCAAGAAGCGTATAAGTGCTTTACCAAATTATATATATATATATATATGTGTGTGTATAAAAGTAACACACTTACAATTAGATTCCCCCATGTGCATACTGAATCTAATACTAAAAAGATTTTTATGGTTTAAAAGCTGTTCACTGCACAGAAGCAATAAACGCTTTACTAAACAATTTTTTTTAATATAAATTTTTCAGGTATTAGATTCGGTACAGTATAATAATTAAGAGGATGCCTAACAATTTTGTCAATGGCTGTAAGTCGATCCGTTTGATACAATTTAAGGACTCAGAATTTTCTATTTTCACATTTTAGATTACAATTATTGAACCACCAACATCTTGCTCGGACCTAAAGGCGCTCTCTCGCTTGTTTGATTGATATATAATGGTCTTATCTAACTTAATTTTTCTGTATTTAGTTTGATCAATTTTCGATTACTCGCGCTGTAAGATTAAAGCTTCCCTTTTTTACACCAAACTCGAAATCTTTTTATTCTTACATTTAATAGTAGCTTCGTCTGCATGTCTGCTTCAATCCACCTAATTCGAAAAGGCCAAACGGAACATATTTTTTTAAGTCTTTCTCGATAATCGTTTAAAATTGAAAAGGTACGACCCACTTCCCGCGGATGACCTGGATGAACTTGTTTGAGGGGATGTCGAACGTCACACCGGCCTCGAACGGGTGACGCGATATCGTTCGCCGTTGCGGCGAAGTTGCCGTTGGAAAATCGACGACGTAATTCCGGCGCTCATTCGAGCGACAAAGGGCGCGATCCTCCGGCGGCAGCCAGGAAAGGGCGTCCGATTTATCTTGCAAAACTAACTCATAGGCAATTCTCGCACTCGCGCCCGACTATCGAGGGCGGCTCCCAAGACGTCCATTTACAACTTTGCCCGGGGAAAATAGAGTCTTACGTGCAAGATTTACATCCTGCTTTGTGTCCCGGGCGCCCGATGTAACTTCCGCGGAGCACCCTTTCGCGCCCATGCGCGACGTGCCCTCGTCCCTCTCGCGCCCCCAGCTTTCGCCATAATGGTCGTGAATTAATAATTCGCGTCCAAGTTTCCGCATGCCCCGAACGTCCCCGATGAAAAGTGTCACGAATCCCGCATCCCGGTGCACGTGTATGCGCGCGCGCTCTGTAACGTACGTAAGCGGAAATCGGATCGATCATTATTCATAGTATGACCCCGGCGAACGTCACCATCGTTCCTCCGTATTGATTGCGCGGTCGTGATGCAAAGCCATTCGGCTATTTTAACGAGGGCCGCTCGCAATGAGATAAATTTTACACATCCCCGAGACTAGATCGGAATCTGAAATTGTCGCAACGTCCGACCCATTTTATGCCCGATTATTTGTCGAATCTGTCAATGAGTCGCGTAAAACGGTCCGCCTTGTAGATCGGACAAAATATCGCCACTCGAGTTTTCGTATATTCTAATCTGCGAGACGTGTCCAAGTGCTGAGGTTTGTAAAAACCGTCGACCGACGGCGCGAAGATTAAAACAGGTCCGCGTCGCTTTCGGTGGTTCGATTTATATCCGGTTTCGACCCCCGGGAAACTACCCGGCCACTCTCGCGAAAAGGGGCGAAAGGAGCGTGGGAAAAGCATCCCTCGCCGCGAGAGATTCAACCCCCGTGTGCCGAGCGCAAATGACGTTTCCCTCCTCCCGTTCCTCTTTTCCAGGTACGCGGAGCCGAAGCGATACTCGTCCAACGGCCGGGACATGACGGTGGTTTTAAGACGCGCCTCCAACAGCCCCACCGACGAGGAGTACATGGAGGTCTCGTACTACTTCCACGACGGTAAGTCGTAAAAGGGAACGAACGTGCCGCGGTTTGCCGGACGAGACCCGGGCTTACCCGGCACAAACTCGAAACAAAAGATTGCACGTCGGAAATTGGATTATGATGCGCGCCGTCGCGACGCGCCGCGCCGCGTCGCCGCGCAATCAAGCCGGCGCGCGCGTAAGCGCCGTGAGATCGCGAGAAACACACGCGCGCCCTCCGTCAGAGCGCTCTATCGCCCTATCGCCTGCGACGCAGGCTACTCTTTTCTTACCCGCCCTTCTTCCCTTCTCTCCCCTCTCTTGTTCATTACGAGTTACGAGCGCAATCGCGCTTCTTTACGCGCTTCCGAGAGGCTTCCTTCTCGTTTTACGTCTTCGAAAGCGGAAGTTTTAAAAAAGATCGCGCAATGAAGTTTATCCTATAATTTGATATCCCTCGTCCCGCGAGTTTCTCGAATAGTAGGAAAATTACATTAGTATAAATATAATTAAGATTATTAATTAAGACTTTCTCTTTCAATCTAATAGCAGCAAAGTCTTCTATCATGAGGTAGGCTCCTAATATGAGACGGCGGAGTCTGCTAAATTAATAGGCATCATCTGTTGGTTCCGCCATGAATTTATTGCTCTTGGAGTGAAATTTGTTTAATGGAAAATTTATCGTTAGATCGTGTAATTGTTGCGAGAAATGATTTGTGGATGAATTTGGATATTGGAAACCTGCTCTCTAAAAATCGATCAGTAGTGGATTATCACTGAAAACAGTCAATACTCACTGATTTACAGGTACAAGTGTATCACTACGATCTTCAGTAGGACACTTATAATTGTGAATTAGTGACTACTCGCCGTTTTCAGTGACAATCCACCGAATAACTTTTAGAGAGTGCTATCTCATATTAGAAGCCTGTCTCGTAATAGGAGACTTTCCTCTATATTTCTTTGTTTAATAGCACACGGTCCCCTCGTGTACGGTCGTAGTCAGAGAGGTTGTCCGTCGTTTTACAATAAGTTTTCAGAATATTCGTATATGTATATCGTTGCATAGATATTCGTACATATCATTCCTGTGGGATTTGTTTAAATTTAAGGTTGGTTTGGCAACACCGAGAAGGAGTTGCCAAACTCCGGAGTTAGATTTAATTCGAGCTTTAATATAAAATAATAGATAAGGTGGAGTGGGGTAAAACCGACCCAGAAATTGTAAAGTATACTTTAAACTGATGTATTTTCTATCTATTCCACTAAAACCTAATAATCTTAGTGTTTTTATTTAGCGCATGGTTTATTCTTTAAGTTGCATTAATTTGGATTAAAAATAACTTCTGAAACTTATGATTTTCTTAATAAATTAAAAACAGTGCTACTAGGGCGGACTTGCCCCGGAACTGGGGCAAAACTGCACCTACCTGTTTAAAAATTATTGAATATAATATAATATAATATAATATTTTATTACTATAAAGGAAACTTACCTTACTATACTTTGTGCCTATCGAAGATAAACACATAGATTTGTAAACTATTGCTTAAATTATCGTTTTATAATGCTTAACTCAATCTTTGCTCTGCACCTGGAAACACCATGAACTTTCTCGAACGAGTTAAACGGGGGATTCACAGAATACATGGCGGCCACCTATGTTGATCATTTAATACTAACCAAAGGAAGATTTCTACCTTACAGTTGGTACAATGCAACGTATATTCGAATAAATAAGGGCCTAGTGCGGATTTGCCCCGTGTACGGATTTACCCCACCGCACCTTACAACTCTTCAGGGGTCTTTTCACTTTAACGGCCTAAAAACTATGCTTATCCTTAACAATATTGTTCAAATTATGACAAATGTTTTTTTTGGTGTTATTTAAGAGTGTCCTAATAAATCCCAAAAGGATTTATTTCATTGTATGGTGTATTTACTGAGAAAAAAATTGTTAAAGATAAACACAGTTTTGGGGCCGTTAAAGTGGAATGATCCCTTAAGTAGTCTCTCGGTACTCGCGGAACTCTTGGCGTGATTCTCTCTCTACCGCGCACGTCTTATCTCTACACGCCAACCGTACTCTGGGAAAAAAAAAGACAGTTAGCAACTCATTTTGGGGCCCACAATTAGTAATCGAATTATTTGGATTGTTCGTAACTCTACTCTGGGAAACATTTTGACCGTTTTTTTTTGTAGTTAAGCAACTTAACATTTTAGTTCGTGCCTCTTAAGTGAAACTTATCGTTGCGTTACTGAATATCGACAGAACTAATTGAGAGAACTAATTAGTGTTACTTTAAAATCGTGGACATAGATAGAATAGCTGATTGCGATTTTCAGTTACGCGGGGTAAAATTCGTAAAAGCTTAGAGTTACGAACAATCCAAATCATTCGATTACGAATTGTGGGCCCCAAAGTTAGCCAGTTGCTGTCTCTTTTTTTCTCAGAGTAGTTAGCCGATGTCACGCGAGCGACGAACGGTTGTCAAACTTAACACCCTGCAGTTCCTTTGCTATAATAATGTGTCACTGCACATATCCGTGAGCGAAAGCTATAATCTCTCGCATGATGGACTGCATTTCCGAAATTTATCGTAGAACGTCGGACAACCTCTCTGACCACGATTGTACAGTAATGCTCGCCTTCCTTTGTTTATAAAGCGCGAAAAGCGATCGATTGTCGCGACGATGTGTCAACGTCATTTTCGCGACCGGCGCAATTTGCACCCGCAGTCCTATCGTCCCGATTGGAGTTTTTGCTTCTCGAGTAGCCGACTGCGGCGCGCCCAAACCGCTAATTACGAGTAACTAATTACCGTAAATACGCCTCGGCATATATCGATGTCAAAGCCTGGTTCTCGCCTCCCTCCCCCCCCCCTCCCCCTCCCTCGCCCTGCCTCGCCCCCTCTAATCGGATGAGCGTAGGCACGTCCGGACAGTAATCCTGAAATTCGCTTGGCACCCGACCGGAGGGATTCTGGTTGGCTGCCGGAGGACACATTCACGATATCGACGCGTCCGTCCTCGGCAAAAACAGCGGTCGCGCTTAATTCCGTTTCAAAGATTAGATTTAACCCCCGATTAAGTAGCTACGACCTTTTCCTTCGCCGGGCAATCCCGCGGAGATTAAAACGAGAGCCCGGGTATATTATACGCGCTCTCGGTATATCGGGGGCAACTCGTAATTATTCGGATTGGTCGGATAATTATTCGCCCGCGACTGTTACGGTTATTTTGCAAAGTAAAGCCAGACTACCGCGTATCACAGGCTTGAAAGCAAATCTAAATTCAAAGCGGATAACGGCGTATGTGCACCGCGATTTTCAGTATAGAACTTTAACCGTATAACGTTTTGCGCACGAGCGATATACAGAGGATATAACGAATAATATGGAATAATATGAGTAATACACTTGCGACAGGATATTAATAGCAATTTCACGCTGAAATTAATTAATATCTTAATACTTTGTTCTCAAATAAAAATTGCTTCCCTCGTAACGACGTAACGCCGGAGAGTTTCTTCTCCATTTATCGTTTTCTCTCTCGTGAATTCGAGCGGCCTTCATCAGCCGCTTTCATCAGAGTCGCCAAACTCGAATCGAGCAGGCATTTTGGTACACGAGCTAATCATGCGCGAGATAAAATTTTAACGAACAAAACGAAACGCGGACAGCAGTAATTGAATTTTGATATCGACGAGATTTTAAACGTCGACCGAATTTTACGACACATCATGTCGACATCAAGTTCTCGTTCCGATGAATTTTTTTCCTTTTTTTTTTACGTTGTCTATATAAAATGGCTACCAGCCTCGCTCGTATAGCCGGTAGCCATTCCGGGTTACAACAATCGTACGAGCGGGCGGCATATATAGACCCAATCATGGGCCATTATAAAAAAAAGGCGTAAATGACAAGAATCAAAAGCCATGCCTGACGACGGACTATCGTCGTCGATTCGATCGGTGATTGACGAGAGTGGTCGTGTCGTCGGTCGACGTTATTACGTTTACACGTGTTACACGTGTTACACGCCGTGCATTTTCGTGTCTCTCGCCGGTATCTCTCTATTCAATTCACCGCGATCGATGAGTACGGTCGTCGACGATCGGCGTGTTTGGGATCTTAAATAACAACGTTGTATTTAAACGGGGAAATGGGGCACGCGCGTCAGGCGTCGTTCGAATCGACCACGACTTTGTTCGTCAGTCCTTTTTTTTTTATTCCACGTTCATAACGACATCCCGCATAGGGGACCCTCGCTCCGGTCTCGTAGCTGTTTCATTTTTTCCCCCCTTGCAGAGGCGACCGTCGAATATCGAGACCGAACCGTTCTCGAATTCCGTTCTGCATCGGAATTCCGGTGCCTACCTTATCTCGCGCCGAGTGCGATCCGTACGGTGGAACATAAAACTTTATGCGACCCAGGGAGACCGATCTCCTTACGGGAAAGGGTTCGAATTCGACCGGGCGACCCCGAATTGCCGCGAATAGTCATGCGAAATTGCCGTGTAAGAAACGAAACGAGGGAATCCTGTCTGCGGAGTGAACTTCAACTCGAAATGAAAGTGCCCGTAAGACGTTTACCCAGTTATAACTCGCTGAAATATATACCCCTCTGACTGCGAGAAACTTGTGGAAAAAAATTAAGCTAAGAGGCGCGAGGAGGAGAGGGGGAGGGGGAAGTTACAAGAGTCCCGCGAGAATTCAGCGGATATGGGCGAAACGATAAAATGAAAATATTTTATATTCGAGATAGCCTTGGTGTAATTTTCTTGATTGGCACCCCGAGGATAGTAATCTCTTGGGATATAAATGTAAAAGTAACTTTTACGCTTCGTCATATGTCTCCCGTTCCATTTCTCCGTTTATTATAATAATTTCGTTAATTTATTCGTTTGCAATTAAGGTGATGCTGGAGTCTCTCTGTTTTACCAACATTTTTTATATAAGGATATCTTTTAATTGGCTTTACAGAATTGCAAATTCTTGTACACGATTAAAGTTCGCACAAAATTGAAAGTCAGCCTACTCGACTTTATAT